AAATACTTCATATGCCTTAAGTATGTTACAGTAGATGTTTTTGGCTTTAAATGGCTACAATGCTCACCTTAATCAAGTCAAAATTAAGTGGGAAAGTAGAATGTCATTATTGCCTTCTTATGATTATACAGTTAACAATAAATATACCCCATGCCTGCAGGCAAATAACACCCTGCATGCAACATTTAGTTGCTTGCTCTAAAAGGAAGTGAACCTTAACACAGATTTGATCTCCAGTCGCCATACCCTTCTGTTGTAAGATTACTAATCAGCAACTCAGAAACAACAGAAGAGGGTAAAGGAACCTAAAAGGCTTTTTACAGCAGTATGCAAAAGTTATTCATGGTGAAGATGTGAAATATACAATATCAAAGGGAAATGTAATGGCATAAAAATGAACAGGAGTTTGGCTTCTGTTCACATGCAAAATCTACTTTGTTCATATAATGAATTAGCAGATCGGTTCAATGTGAGAGAAGTGTAAAAGTGATCAAGGTTTCTCTACATGTGAGTCCAAGATTCTTCCAAAAGAGTCCTCTCAGCTGTTTCAAACCACCCTGATCCCATAAAGGTCTTCTGATTACTTCCTAGCAAGGAGCCAGTAAGTGCACAATCCCAGGTCAAGGTCAATTCTTCTTACAAACACTCAAAGGCATGACATAACATTATAAACAGCTTTAATAAAAGCTTGGAGTTCATTGAATCATCATCTTATCCTCTTCTGTCCATCAACTACATCATCCACTATTTGCAACTGTTCACAAGTTGTATTTCCCATTGTCTTTTACTCTTTTACATATCAATATATATATATAAACATTCAAGTAACAGTAAAATAAGCATGGAATATAAGGTTTTCCTACCCCCTAATACACTTAACTTTTTTTAATTAGTCCTGCACATCTTGCAATTTAGTGACACTTTGTTAACAAATCATTGCTACGACTGCTACTGAGTATGGTGAATAATCTCTCTTTGTGGCATTCTGGGTTAGATAACTCATATTTCACCTCTGGTGGATGAGGTACAAATCTTGATTTTGGAAATTGTTGTGGTGTAACTCCAGTTGGCAACCAAGCACCACACAGGCACCTGCTAATTTTCCCCACCAGCAGGATGGGGGGAAGAGAATTGAAAGGGTAAAAGTCAGAAAACTTGTGGGTTGAGACAAGAACAGTTTAATAACTGAAATAAAATAAAAATAATATTGATAAAAGTAGTAGTACTACTAACATTTTAAAAACTGACATAAAAAGGAAAATAACAAAGAGAGATAAACAAAACCCAAGAAAGAGAAGTGATGCAAATGAAAACAATTGCTTATCACCCACTGACTGATGCCCAGCCAGCACCTGAGCAACCAACTCTGCTGTCACCCTGCCAACTTCCCCCCTGTTTTTATTACTAAGTATGATGCCGTATGGTGTGGGGCATCCTTTTTGTCCAGTTGGGGTCAGCTGTCCCAGTTGTGTTCCCTCCCAAATTCTCGTGCATCCCTAGCCCACTCACTGGAGGGGTGGCGTGAGAAGCAGAAAAGGTCTTGACACTGTGTAAGGACTGCTCAGCAATAACAAAAACATCTCTGCATTATCAATACTGTTCTCAGCACAAATCCAAAAAATGCCCCCACACTACCAGTATGAAGAAAAGTAACTCAACTCCAGTCAAAACCAGTACAAAAATGCATCTGAGGATCAAGTAACAGTAAAATAAACATGGAATATAAGGTTTTCCTACCCCCTAATACACTTAACTTTTTTTAATTAGTCCTGCACATCTTGCAATTTAGTGACACTTTGTTAACAAATCATTGCTACGACTGCTACTGAGTATGGTGAATAATCTCTCTTTGTGGCATTCTGGGTTAGATAACTCATATTTCACCTCTGGTGGATGAGGTACAAATCTTGATTTTGGAAATTGTTGTGGTGTAACTCCAGTTGGCAACCAAGCACCACACAGGCACCTGCTAATTTTCCCCACCAGCAGGATGGGGGGAAGAGAATTGAAAGGGTAAAAGTCAGAAAACTTGTGGGTTGAGACAAGAACAGTTTAATAACTGAAATAAAATAAAAATAATATTGATAAAAGTAGTAGTACTACTAACATTTTAAAAACTGACATAAAAAGGAAAATAACAAAGAGAGATAAACAAAACCCAAGAAAGAGAAGTGATGCAAATGAAAACAATTGCTTATCACCCACTGACTGATGCCCAGCCAGCACCTGAGCAACCAACTCTGCTGTCACCCTGCCAACTTCCCCCCTGTTTTTATTACTAAGTATGATGCCGTATGGTGTGGGGCATCCTTTTTGTCCAGTTGGGGTCAGCTGTCCCAGTTGTGTTCCCTCCCAAATTCTCGTGCATCCCTAGCCCACTCACTGGAGGGGTGGCGTGAGAAGCAGAAAAGGTCTTGACGCTGTGTAAGGACTGCTCAGCAATAACAAAAACATCTCTGCATTATCAATACTGTTCTCAGCACAAATCCAAAAAATGCCCCCACACTACCAGTATGAAGAAAAGTAACTCAACTCCAGTCAAAACCAGTACAAAAATGCATCTGAGGAGGTGTGGAAGAAAAGCACAGCACAGTGGGTTTTCCCAAGGTCTGTTCAAACCCAGTGGTCTTACTCTCTTTGTTCTCCTCACCCTTAAAGGCTGACACTCTTAAGATAAAAAAGTACTTTGAATTGAAATAATAAGTATGTGCCATGTCTGGACTGAAAGATACTACCCTGGCTTTGTGAACAGCACAGACTCTGAAGTCCATTCTATAACTGTTTCTAAGTAGACTATTTGGGAAATGAATGTGTAAAATAAGGTAGGAGGATCTATTTTGCTTTTTGAATTCTCCACTGGCAAACAGAAACCCTTATTTAAAGTAGAGGACCTTGCATTGAGTAATTTTAAAACATACAAACAGTAACCCTATTAAAAGTCTTAAACCAACATTTCTTCAGTCAATATGAAAAAAAACAAAGTGCTTTTCTCACTCTCACCTTTCAACTATTACTCACATACAAACAAGATCACATCTGAATAAATTCCACTGGTCTCCATCCCATATCATCCAGCACTATTTATTTTCATACAGAATCACTAGCATACAGCATAGCCAAACACTTCACTGAGAGAGCTGATTGTGAATTAAAGAGGTGAGTAAACTTCCAGTGTGAAAATTCAAGAGGGTAAAAAGATCTCCAGGTTAGACAATGAAGGACCCAGAAACAGAAGGCTGTTTATCTTCCATATGTGAAAAAAAATGGCTAGAACAGGGGGGAACAAAGTGGAAAGTGAGAAATAACAATGCTCAAAGATTGCAGCTGTGTGAGAAGACCATAGAACAAGTAGATAAAAGCATATAAGATGAAGCAAGCTTACTTGAATTAGACTCATGGGCATTAAGCAAGCTAGAAATAGCCACAGTACACGGGGACGAAACTATTCATTTTGCTAAAGAGAAGGCTAGGAGTTGAATTTTCTCATCTGCTACAGGCTTAGTGGCAGGGATGTCACCCAGTCTGTGCCTCAGTTCCTCATCCATAAAGCAGGACGTTGTGGAGAAAAGCCACAAATAGTTTAGGAGATAGTCAAGTGACAAGGGCAAGATATGAACCTACACAGACAGCTATACCTAGCAGACCCCTGTTGAGGAAAAAAAAGAAAGAAAGACCCTGGCTATAGTGACCTGTCCTACATTAATTTTAGAGAGGAACACAAATATTACAGACCACAGCAGAAAGATGTACAACCAGAAGAAAAAGAAATAAATTTCTGACTATAAAAGCCTAGAGAGAAAGAAAATTTTGCCAAATAAGAAAGATGACAATGCACAGACAGATAAAATGATAAGACTTTCTACAATTAAGAGCAGAATTAATATCTGAATGTACCCTCAAAGGAATGCTGCCTAATTTCAGGGAGGTGTTTTTTGGGAATCAGCTACTGCTATGGATAGAGTGTACAGTCTATTCCTGTCAATATACAGGAGAAAAGCATGAGAAAGTTACAGACAGGAAGAAACAGGTTTCCTGTATGGGGGTGGAAAATTCCTTCAAATATAGAGAAAATGGGGGAAAGACCATTGCCACATACAACAACTTCAGCCTAAGAAACTTGCACACTGACATTCTTCCATTCAGATGTGAGATACAGGCAAAATGGAGGGTGACTGGTACAAGTGGCTGTTAAATAAGATACAGGTAGTCACAAGATAAACCTTCTGTACCAAAAGAAGGAAGCAAAGGAGACAAGCAGTCTGCAAACAGACTGTCTGGTTGCAAAGACGATCAGAGGGGCAGAGGAGACAGACAGTTGATCAGAGATGAAATTTTCCCTGAGGGCACAAACAACCCTCCTGAATACTTGTGAGTTCATTTGAGAAGGTTTGAGCATACAAAGGGGCGAGGAGGAAGCCAGGAATGGATGGCACTGAGGCAGCGTGTGGTCACAGCGACAGGGTTTCCTTGTAAAATGCTGAGGAACTGCTGGAAATATTTACTATCCCTCTGGCCATTCCTCCCTCATTATTTGTTCTAACCAGCACTTGAAGAACAGCTTTTTTATGTTTATGTGTATATAGCTAAGTAAAATAAATAACCAACAGCACATGTATATGTCCTTGCTAACCCCAAATTCGTTCTTGCTATATGTTATTTTCAGAGTAATAAGTATGACAAAGCAACACACGTTAGCTGCAGGAGGCATGTCCCTGTGCCAGGCAGCCTCCTCCCACCACAGAAGGTCTAAAACCATAAATCAGACCATGGGTGGGAGAAAGCAAGTAACACTGTCCCCTTGTCACAGAGTGAAAGCCAAGGAAGAAAGTGATTTTTCTGGAATTTCACAGGAGGTCAGTGGCAGAACTGGATACTGAAAGCCTCTCTCTTCAGAATCCATCTGGTTCTTCAGTCACAAGGGCATTGTATCTCTTTGGTCTGAGCTCAAATTAACAATACTACCACCTCCATCCACAAAGCCAATCTTTCTATCTACTTACAGTTCTGTTGGTGAAGTTACTGAAGTCTGTCACTAAGATTTGCTTGATCATGTCTGGTGTGGAGACTACCACAAACATCTGGCGACCAATGTAGTACCTAGAAAGAAAGTAGAGAGTCATTTTAGCAGAGAATGTCAACCAGAGAACTGTCACTTTCCTTAAAATACCTCTGTTGGCTTGAAAACAATTGCCATGTACAAACATAAAAAAAAATATTCCCTTGGTTAACACAATATCTACCTTCATCCCTCTCATCTATTACATTAAGATGCATAGACCTAGAATTTAAAGGAAACAGCTTAAAACTTTCTACTTATTAATCAATGCTCAGCCGACTTTTCAACATCCATGTTTAAACACTGTGCTTACCATGAACCCTGCACAAAGTGACTACAAAGTAGCACCACTAAACCAAACTACAGAGGGGCAAAACAGCAGCAACCAATAACCCAAAGAATAATGAAAGACCTACTAAATGTATTATTCTGCAGTTATCAGCATGAAATGCCTTTCCATGGCAAAGCCCTACCTTCAATGAGCCTTTCCAGAAGTCCCCCCAGTATGGAGGCAGCAAAGGCACATTTCCACCACTTCTACTAACATTTGGAACCCAGTTCACCTTGGGCTCTGCATTACCACGAACAAAACCATCCAACAGGTACAACCTGAATCTTACAGAACATCGATGTGAAAAGAAAAAAGAAAAAAAAAGAAAGAAAAAAAGAAAAATCCACCATGTATAAATAAATTAATAAAACTTCAGAAGAAGACTGGATGATAGGGGTCTCTCACTCTCTGCTTGTACATCCCTTATCTCCCACTTATCTTTGGAGCCTGGGTCTGTCCCTGGGGGACTTCACAACATTGTGGATGCTACAGAGGTACTGGGACCCACCCCCACCTCACAACTCCTAGGGATGCAGCATTCTCCAGCATCATTTCCCCCCAAGGTCCAGAGGTGCCCCATGCTTGGCTCCTCTTCAGGGGGAAGGAGGAGAACCATCAGCAAGCAGATATTGCCTGCAGTCCCTACCTTTTCCAATTGCTGGACCAGAAAGACTACGCAGCTGGTACTGCCACTGCTGTGCCAGGAGAGAGGAAGAGAAGGCTGAAGGCAGGCACAGGAGGGCCGGGTAGCTCAGAGCAGAACAATGCTACAGATGCTGCAATAGTGTAATCACTTTGATATGATAGAGCTTGGTATCAATATATTGTTTATCACCTGTCTACATTGCAGCAACAGAACAGACAAGCAAACCCTGGGCTGAATTAAATTTAGCAACTGGAGGTTCCCATGGCAATGAAGCTGCAACAGCACTGATTTCACCAGGGGCAAACAAGTCAGACAAACATCTTGATTCCAAAGCAAGTTTTCACAGTCCACCTTGACACCTGTACCACCAAAACTCATAACAACCAAATGGCAGAGAAGAACAAGAAAATAATTTTCTTCTGCAAGGAACGGATCTCTTCTTCTCTGGTGGCTTTCAAAAGGGAATTGTGATTTCGCAAATCCAAACCACAGGCTCCACTTGAACCTTAGACACAGGTGGTACGTTTTGTAAAAATAAACCTTTTTCACCTCTCTCAGTTTTCTAAGCCACAGCAAAGTAACTGTCTGTTAATGGCCAAACTTTTTTTCAGAATCTTAATAGGTGCATAAGAAACAGCTGAAGCCTCACTTTAAAGAGCACTTTGATCTTAGTCTTTGGCAAAGGAGGATAACACCCTACATGCCCCTTTGGCATGTACTTTCTACGATTTCTCTGGCATTAGAGAGGCAAAGCAAGCTCCCAAGGTGAAGACCTGTGCTGCTTCAAACCTACCCGGGATGATCCACTATGAATACTGAACTCTTACATTCCCATCTTGCTTTTCTCTCCCCCTCTACAAGTTTATAAAGTTCCTTGTCTTGCTTAATAGTCAATCACTGATGGTCTTCAAACACAGAGCTTTTCACAGGGACCAAATCCCTAATAATAGATTCTAAATCTGAATCAGAAGCTAATCATGTCTACTTAGATAATTTAACCCTAACTGTGAAGAAGCACTATGTGATACATCATGCAAAGCACATGTATGTGTGTGTGAGAAAGAGAGAGACTTCAAATTTATTTCCAACTTATGAAGCTGTGGATCTCCAGCTTTGGTACACTGGAATAACAGACAGTACTTGCAGTCAAATCCCTTATGTCACAGTGCACTTTGTGCTTGAAAGCATTCAGGACTGGAATTTGGGACAGGAGCATCTCATACTCAAGCTGCTTTTATGAGAAAGTGACTCACAAGCCAAGCTTATGCAAACAAATCTATTCATCGTCCTCCAACTCAGACCAGTCACCCGAACTCCCAGTTCTGCTTCCACAGCTAAGCCCTTTCTTTTTCATTTACTCTTCTTTAACTTTCTGTCTAAAGGCACCTGTTTTCCCTTTCCTTATCCAGTTATAAATAAGGGCAGAGAAGGAGAAAGACGGGGGAAAAAAAATCCCAAAACTAATACACAAAAAATACTGAAAAAATTATCTTAAACTGCTTTTTAAGCAAGGTTCTGTCCACTTTTACAAATTGAGTGCTGTAAACACACTCAGACCAACATCTTTTCTGTATCCCAAACAGTAAAATCTCTCTCCTTTTTGTTTCCATTCTCCTACTTCCTATATACAATATTTCTAACCAATTCTAGGACACAAGAAGAGAGTGTGTATGGACATGCTATGGAAGCCAAATTCCAGAGGCTGGGAGCATGACTTCCATGACTTTCCCCTGAAGTTAAGGAAAAGGGATAAGAACAGGTAAGTATGAAACAAGATCATCTGAGCAATTTTGTTTGGCTAACACAGGTCCAGAACCTGAAAAGCCAGCAGAAATATGCTTAACTAAGTTTTAACATATTTAAAATCCTTTGCAGTGTCAAGGCCTTGGTCACAAACTGAGAAGATATCTCCCAACTAGATATTTCTTTTAAAAAAAAACTTGTTCCAAAATGGCAAGTAAAAGATACAATCCTACTGAACAATAATCTATTCTTCCTGAGTAAATAACATATTCAACCCTGCCATGTAACTTCATTTTGATTCTGTATTACTACATGAGGGTATCACCAGCCTCACATAGACTTAGATTTATTATTGAACAAAACCCGATATTCTTGTCAGATTTTAATAAATAAGAGTTTGAGAGAAACAAAAACCTCCTGGCAAGTGCATTACAAATGGATTCATGAATAATTTAGGACAGCACCTTTTATTAACTTTCTCTAGGTTCATCTTGTCCACACACAGAAGTCCTACCTTTAACTGCAGTGCTAGAGCAACATTACACTGCTTGACCCAATCCTTTGTAATATTTTCATGTAGAGCATTCAGGGTGTAATACAAACTCTTATGATTATCTAGCACAGAAACAAGAGCATGTGGATGCAGTACAGCAACTTGGGAGAGATGCAAATCTGTCCACATGGCAATCTGTTGGACCACGGCCATACCAGCAAAAATAAAGCTCATGACCTATGCACAGGTGTAATTTTTAAATGTAGATGAGGCCTCAGTTATATAAGTGATGACACTAGGGCAATTTCTACAAACCTTCACCTTAAACTGCAGCCCTCCAAAATAGAAGAAAAAAATCCACATTTTTAAACAGCATCTTTAGCTCCGCTGGTGAGACAGGAAAGACCTGGTACCAATACACCAACAGCATGAGGACAGTGTTGGCTTTCTCCAGAAGATGAAAGTATGGATGCCACAGTGGGCTGCTGGTGTAGAAGTGGGCAGGCCTGTGCTGCACCATCCTCAGGAGGACCAGGAAAAAAGTTTTTCAGATGTGTTCAATGAAAGACATGGATTTACTCCCACAAGCTATGGAAAAGGCAGGGTGCCTTCCAGCATGCTTTCCAAAGCAGGTCAAAGGACTGGCTGTATTTTAGTACATTGAGCTAAGGAAGTCAACCTGCATTCAGAGTGCTTTAATAACTGAAGAGGCTATGAACACCCAACATGGTGGCTAAACACCTTCAACTGTAGCAGTTTGGTTTGTAAGAGAGGACAAGAACAACTCTTAAGGCAACTAATGACAGGGACAGAGACTTCTGCCTCGTGTTTGGGTTTCACTCAGGAGGTTGCGGTTCTCTTTACAAATACACAGTCTTGTAAACTTGTAAATGCCTCTTTTCTTGGCAAGAGTAAGCACCATTGTACCAATGATTTCTGCTGATTGGCATGCGCCCCACCACTGCTTCCTGCAGAGTTGTGAGCCAGGTGTCTCAGCCTGCACATAGTGCCTGCCGTGGCCATGGCCACAGAATTTACCCCATGAAGGTAAGACATGCCTGATAGATGAGCTGCCAAGTCCAACCACAAGCCAAGGTAAAAGCAGTGAGACGAGAGGTATGTTGGACTGCCCAGTCACTCCTAGAACACCCAAGCACACATTCTCCCTTTCCAACAATTGCCAGGGATGCCCAGAAACACACATTTCTATTCTCAGGTGATGTAGCAGGTCAATCAACTGGTTTTCATTTGAAGGACAGATTTTGTGTCATCCTTTCTGCAAGATCATTCTGGTCACACTGCACAGTTATCTGCTGCTGACAGTGTCCCCACACAGATCCTGAGCCACAGACGTGCTCTCTCAGCAAAACCCAGAGCGACACTGCCTTGCTGCACAGGAAGAAATGGAGTGCACATGCTGTACATCATGGCAAAGGACCATGTGTTTTTGTAAAACACCTGTGTGGGAAGCACCTGCAGCCCTTTCACCTTGTTTATAGTGCTGCTCTCAAGTCACAGAAGACTTTGATCTCCCTATCTATTATCAGTCCCATGTATTACAAACACATCACATTAATCACAAAACACATATATGCTCTAGGCAATAAACAAAGCTTTGTTTTCTGTGCTGCAGGCTGGTAAAGTAAACAAAGATCATCTGGAAAGCTAAATATAAAAATAGAAAATTTTATTATTTTAATGTTCCTCAGGGAAGAGCAAAGAACAATGAACCTAAAAAAAAAAAAAAAAAAGGAGGTATGCAAAGACACAGAGATACAGGGGGTGCAGAGGGGAAAGGCTAATTTGCTTAGGAGACATTTCCATTAAG